AAAGGCATGGAAACTCCATCTCCCGGGCTGCCAGGTGCGGATAACCGCTCCCTCTCAGGGTGGCTGTGAGGGGTCGATGAGGTGATACAGGTCAGCTGTGCCCAACACGTGATTGGCATTCCCCCTCCCTCTTCTCTTTTTTTAATGTTTATTATTGGTTTTTTGGAAAAGTCAGACGCATTTTTGCAATGAAATAGAAAAAAATGTCATGACTTTTTCGACAACCCAATATTTTTATTACTTATTGATTTCAATTACAGTTGACCTTCAATATGATTTTGTATTAGTCTCAGGTGTACAGCATAGTGGTTAGACATTTATATGATTTATGCACTGATCCCCTCCGATTAGTCTAGTACCCACCTGGCACTAGACATAGTTGTTGCAGCACCATTGACTCGCATTGTCCTGGGCTTCTGGGACCTCTTCCCCCCTGCTGCTTCCCCTCTCTTTGTTCTGGGGTTCCTTCTCTTGGGACAGGGCATGAACAGGGAGAGAACTGTTCTGCAGGTCCCCTAAGATCTGACCCCACACACTGTTCTCCTGTCCCCCAGCCATGCCCTGCTCGGCAAGGACACTGTGCTGGAGGGAATCTCAGGGATTATAGGTTCTGATGTGTCAGCCAGAGCTTTTTTGATTGCAAGGAACTGGACACATTTGCTTATTAAATGGTAGAAATAAATTAATACTTGCAAGAGGCAACTTTAAGAGTGGGTTTGAACCTGGCAGGTCCCGGTTCTCACACGCGCGCAATGTGACCTGCTTTCTGTCCAGCATCCCATCCTGCTAAGAGCCTCTGGGCGGCCCCATTCACAGGCACAGTCCATCTCACTGCATCCAGGGCCTCCAACAATGCCAGCTTGACACCACTCACCGTGCATTCTACTGGGGGGCGGCATTCTCCTTCCCTAGGGTTCCATGCAAAGTCATGGCTTCAAAAGCCTTTGGCTTGGCTTGGGTGACATTCTCATGCTCAAACCCATCAGAGCACCCAGAGGATGGATCTGTCGCTGGCTAGACGTGGGGTCAGCCCTTTGGAACTGTTTGGACTGGAGGCAGGTGAGATGTGTTCCCAGAGGAAGATGAGGTGCTGCGCTTGGGGCCCGGGAACAGACGCTGTGTCACGGAAAGCAGCACTTTGCAGTCACTGATGCCCCAACTGCAGGATCTGAAGCCCATGGAAGGAGGGGTTCACAGGGACAGTGGCTGCAGCCACCTGTTCAGCGCTCTTGCTGTCCTCCCACAATGGCGAGAAGCAGTTCCACTTGCTGAGAAAGCAATGTTGTTAGTGGTAAACTCAAGGCTTATGCCTTGGGCATCGGGTCCCGGCATCTCCCTCTGGAAAATTTTCAGATGGCATTGTAATGATGGCACTAAATCTTCTATTTTTGAGATTTGGACCTCTGGTATAATTATAAAGTTAACAAGTACAATTTAGCTTGGGAATTTTTGAAAGCTTTCTTTTCTTTACCTCTTAATGGTTCTGCTTCCTATATATTTACTATGCATACCAATTTGAATGTTTCTATTCACTTCGGACCAGTGCTGGCCCTGTGCCTTGGGAGAGGTTTCACATCTGTATGGGACCAGTTCTCTCCTGGCTCCAACTTAAATCTATATAACGTATGCAAAGGTAGTGATAACCAGCTTTACTGCACCTTCCCCCTTCCCCAACTACAGGAAAATGTAAAACTTGAGACCAAACAAAGACTTGAGGCAGTAGTTTGCAGTAGTTTCTAGCAGACTCTGCCCAGCCGACCCGCCTACTTTAATAAATCTTGTATATTTCTATCTGACTCGTGAATTCTTTCACAGCCCGCGAGCGAGCAGACACAACAGAAGAGATATAGAAAGTCCCAACATATTTCAGATTTAGATAATGTTTTTGTTTAATAAACAGCATGAATCCAACATGATTTTGTACACTGTACCCTGACCAAAAGAATGCTTTAACTGACCACAATAGCCTTTCTCCATAAAATAAAGCAGTTGAACTGATCTACTGACTAAATCTGGGAACAACCACGGCTCTTGTTGAAACAGGGCCCAGTTGGGACCCCCACACAAGAGGCCTTGCAATGTCCCTGGCCTCCCGTCTCCCTACCCTAGATCTTAACAATTGATCAATTCCTTCCCCGTGGTTTGAGCTTGAATGTCCCCAGTCCCAGTTCCTGAGTTTGGAATATCCTCTGTCCAGTTCCTTGCTTTAGATAATTACCCTGAAACTTGTGTTTGCTGACTGGTCACAATACCCCATGCTTATGATCACAATCTCTATGGCCTGGCATTCTTTCCAGGTTACTCTCATCACTGCTCCTGGGTTGGTGACCACATTAGAGAGCCACATCACCTGAGGGAAGGCTCCATGCAGACCCCCGAACCATCACGTGGCCTCTGGAGGAATGCCCAGATTTTCCCTTACATACCCCAGGCTGGTCTGAGAAGGTGAAGGCTGTTTTTGGAGGTGCTAACCTGCTGCCTTCTCAGACCACCGATCCTCTGATAATAAATGCTTATTCTGGGCCGGCCGAGTGGCGCATTGGTTAAGAGTTGCCTTGGGAGCGCCAGCTCTGAGCAGCAGGGCCCCGGTTCGGATCCCACATGAGGGCCAGTGACGCTGCGCCCTCTACAGCTAAGATGCTGAACAACAGCTCGACCTGCAGCTGGGCTGCCATGAGTCGCCGGCAATTGCGTAGGCTGCAACCCCTGCTGCAGTGGGCTGCCATAAGCTACCATGAGCGGCCAGCAGCCTACATAAGCTGCTAAGAGCCTCTGTGAGCAGCCGTACAGTGGCCGGCGACCAATCGGCCTCACCTGGGAAGAGCGCAATAATACCAACATGGGTCAGTGAAGCAACGTCTTCCACAACTAGACTGAAGAACAAAAGGACAGCAACTTGTCTGTTCCCCTTCCCCGATTCCCCAACGCTGTACCTGTCCCCCAATTCCCCAATAAAATCTTTAACAAAAATAAATAAATAATAAATAAATGCTTATTCTGACCCAACTCCTGTGTCGGTCTATTGGCTGAGCAGCGCAGGCAGCACAAGCCCCAGACTCGTTTGGTCTCTGGCTTCATTGCCAGAAGCTGGGAATTTCATAAAGTCTTTCCCTGTGTTTTGCCAGTGAAATGAACTCGCGTGAGACTTGGAAGGCAGAAGGGAAGTGGATGGCGATACTCTCTGAAGGTCAGGGCAGTCAGACACGAAGTCAGGTGCCTGGTATCAATCCCCCCACCTCCACACACAACTCCTCTTCCTGAATATTGGCTCTGCCTGCCAAGTTATGTACTTGGCATCAGGTCTACTGAGGCTGTGGCTTCCACAAACCTTTCCACACGTCATTCTTCACATACCCACGTTGGCAAATAGGTATGTAGGCATTCTCAGGTTTTTCAGCAAGCTTCAACCTGTGCTTCAAGTGCAAATGAAGTCCTTCAAGTGCCCATGCTTAGGGCTGTTCCTCTGATCCCCTGGTGCCTCCCTTCCAGGCCTTCCCTTCCCAGTCTGTCATCACACCCCCGTGTAAACTTGAATCCTGTATCAAACCCGTTTTCAAAACACTTGTTTTGGCTGTTTTCCTCACTGAATTCAAACTGAATCATACATATTAACTACCACCACTCCGTTCTATTATTTTTGAAAAACATTGAGCTGTCAGAAAGAGACTTGCTTCTAATATGGAACATTGGTGCGGGCGTGGGGGTGTGGGGGCTTGGGGGTGGGTCTAGGGCTGCTATTATTATTATTGTTACATGCAGTTCCATCAAGATACCCTGGGAAGCAACCAAATTTCTCGGTCTATCTCAAGGCCAGGAAAGATAGGTACCAGCCGAGCTAAGCAAGGAGAAAACATTATCTGATGCAAGCTGTATCCATTCATTCAGAAAGAAACAATCCCTGGGCTGGCCGAGTGGCGCGATGGTTAAGAACTGGCTTGGGATGCAAGAGGGCCCCAGTTCAGATCCCACATATGAGGGCCAGTGACACTGCCCTCCACAGCTAAGATGCTGAACAACAGCTCAACCTGGAGCTGGGCTGCTGTGAGTCGCCGGCGATGATGGCATAGGCTGCAGCCCCTGTGGCAGTGGGTTGCCATGGGCTACCGTCTGTAGCCAGCAGCCAGCGTCAGCGGCCAGCGGCCGCAGTGAGTGGTCGTCCAGAAGCCAGCGACTGATCTGCCTGGCCTGGGAAGAGCGCAATGATGGTGCCAACTTGGGCCAGTGAAGCTACGTCCTCCAAAACTAGACTGAAGACCAAAACGACAGCAGCTTGCCTGTTCTCCTTCCCCAGTTCCCCAGCACTGTTCCCATCCCCCCAATTCCCCAATAAAAATATTTTAAAAAAAAGAAAGAAACAATCCCTGGAGTTTTTTGTTGTTGTTCTGTCTGAACATGTTATCAGGATGATAATTGTGGAGATTGTGTGGTCATTTCAGGATCTTTCATTGGTTTCAGTATAACCTACATGTATTTTTAAGTTCTTTTGTGTCTTTTGGATTTGAAGAAATTTTATAAACCTGAGACAATGCTTTTGCTGAAAGGCTACAAGTCACACTTTTTTTAATAGTATCGTTTAGTTCTTCTGAATTCTTATATTTTTGGTCTGCCTGTTCTATCAGTTTTTTTCTATTTATTTATTTATTTTTATTTTACTTGAGCCATCCTGCCACCTGTTGGCAGCTCAGCGGCTGCTCAGCTCGGGCTGGGACTCGAACCACTGTTGCTCAGAGCTCTCACTCTTGTGCGAGCTCTTAACCAACTGAGCCACTCGGCCGGCCCTCCTCTCTTTTTTTTTAAAATAAACTTTTTAATTTGTTAATTGCAGTTGACATCCAGTATTACATTAGTTTCAGGTGTACAACATGGTGATCAAAAATGTCTTGTATATAAGTCACACTTCTTAATGTATTTCCATCATAAGTAAAATACATTTGTTCTGTAAATTATGGCAAAATGTCATCAGAAACTGGATTCCAGAAAGAAATTCTAAAACAAGCAACTCATTGTATTACTCTTAAATTTTATTAATGCCTTCAGTTTGTGCGTCATTTAACACAAGATATGTGCTTTAAAAAGCATTCTTATACATAAACAGATCAAGGGACAGTTAAGTAATTTATCCCTAAAACATGCACATCATTTTTACTCAGTTGTGTATAAGAAAGGGAAATAAACTTTAAGTCTTTTTCTTTGGATTAAAGACATTTGGAAATTATTATTCAGGAATGCCAAATGTTTTCCTGGAACAAATGCGTTTTCCACTAGGAAATGCTGATGTAATTAAAAGGCATTAGTGTTGATAAAAAGAACTGGAAAAACATTTGAGCGCTGCACAATCACCAGGAAAAGAGTTCTAGTGGGGCCTAAAATACATGTCAAATAAATGAGCTGGAAGGTGTAGAAGGAAGAACAGGGAGCATGAGCCAGATTCTATGACACATATGTATTCAAGGCACATGACTAGGCTACACAGGTGGCTAGGCTTTGCAGACTAATTTGTTCTTTCATTGGGAAAATGTCAAATGTCATGTGATTTCCACTTGCTGGCACTTGCTGATAAATAAATGCAATTAGAGCAGCAAATGTCCTTTCAGATACACACGAAAAGCACATAGTGGCCAGAGTAGACGAAGCAGTTTGATGGCACTCCAGCTTTCTTACAGTGCGCTTAAATGAACGTTAAACTGTCTTGGATTGTTTCTATACATCATACATATCTCGCTTCACAAAAGAGTTCTTCAAGACTAGGCAGATTAAAGAACTTCCTGAACCACACGGGATGCTCCGACAAGTACTGAACAGCAGTCAAAGGCAAACCCTGGAGCTGACCATTGACTATATTCTGTCCGGGATTTTCCCAGACTGGAACCAATTTCCCACACTATCTGCCTTTATACAGCACAGATGCTAGCACATCCACTGTGCTTCTCTTCTTTTTCTTTGGTGAGCCAGAGAAATTTGCCTCCCCACTCCCTCCATTATGTGGTCTAGTAACTATTGCCCTAAAAATCAAGTGAAGAAAAAAGGAATATATAAAAAAACCCATAACCTTCAACAGTATTTAAACTATCATCTTCTCAAATCAACTGCAATGGGGAAACAGGATATCAAGCTCTGCAAGGTTTGCGAACGGTCAGCCTTCTTCCTGAAAGTGAACACTAGGAGGTCAAAGATAATTCCATGTGCTTCTAATGGGCTGGCAAAATGATCTCCCTCTGACTGAGATACAATGTCTAACACTTTACCTGCTTGGACTCCTAGAAGCAAGCAGCACCGACAACTCAATCACAGTTCCCCAAATAACAACGATTCTCCATGGATGTTGTTCTCAAGTACCTGAAAGTCTTCAATTATAAAAGACATAAGGATGAGATGTGAACAATGCTCTGTCTCGTGAATGCCTGTGTGTGCACACACAACGTTCAACTGCAGTGTTCACAGACAAGCCATCAGACTGGTGCGCTGCACCCTGTTCATAGCTGTGCGCAACCACAAACAAAAATGTCTCTTTAAGGAGGTGATTCTAGTTAACAAACCAAAGAAACAAAGGGCCTTTTTAAGGCGACTGCTGCAATAAATGGCTCAATTGGAAGTGGACTGGAATAAACTGGTTGACAGAACAAAGAAAAATCTGGATGCATAGAACAAGATTACAAACAGAAAAAGAAACAAGAGGGTTGAAGAGACTGGCAGACACCATCTGTCGGTATTAAAAGGCTGCGATTGCAGGGAGCCTTTCATTCCTTGTTCTCTCGTACCCTTGGTTGATGATCCCTTTTCCGTTTTATTTCTTCACACAGCTTGGCCATGTAAATCCACCACAGAGAGGTGACACGATGATATAGATGAAGACCTGGACAGAGGAGGAAGGCAATTTTATTTTCTTGAATCCATCACCAGGCTCCTAACCTGTTAACAAATACTGGTCCCATCAGAGTGTGGCTGTGGAATGATACACTGCGCTAACCAAGTACTTTCAAAGGTGGAAGCTCAATTAAATTCTCCTTTCTGATGAAGTCTCACCCACTTGAATTCCACTGCACTTTTTTCAGCAGGACAGAGAGCAGGGCGTGTTTGTCTTTATGGGAACTAGGAAGAAGGGAGCTATGCGAGCATCTCCTACCGAGACACCATTAATTGTCATAAGGATCCCAAATTGCTGTAGCGCTCCCTTGAAGGATGATTTTATTATTAAGTACATTCTTAGGCTTTGCACATGGATTAGGATGATTAAAAAATTAAAAAGCATGAGTAGAGACTCTACCTCTATACCACCTGTGAGAAAGAATGTCACTACTAACCTTTCAGTGAGTAAGGACACGATAATTAGAATCACCAAATCAAAAGAAAGCTGATGATAAAAGAAACACAGCAAAACCCCCAGTCCTATTAGAGGTGTTTTAGCTTTTTAATTAGAGTATCGTCATTTTAAATTATGATATTTTAATAGTATGTGCTTGCTCACATCTCTTCATTCCAGAAGTAGATTTATTTTAAACATTTGATTCACTGAGATACATTAGTCATTCTGTTGTGCTTTAAATTACACATTTTTGAGATCTTTAAGTGACTGATGTCATTACTCACATGCTTGGGAAAAAACAATTACGAATTCCATAATTCATAATTATGCCTCCTCCCAAGAGTCATCAAACTGTTTTACCTTACTTGTCTACAAATGTTGGGTGGTAGTTTACAGCAAATTCTGCTTATTAATGAATAGGTTCAACTATGCACATCACATAACATACACTCATACACATACACACTCACACACATACTCACACATTTACACAATTAACGCATATTCCAATTTGATATAAAGTTGACCATTTGCCATAGGCCAGGGGTCGGTAAACTTTTGAGACGGAAGAGCCGCCAAGGGTCAGCAAACTGCAGCTCACAAGCCGCAGGCTCTGAAGTAAAATTGAAAATGAAAATCTATCATAGTTTCATTTACAAAATTTTTAAAGGATATTATTCACATAATGGTGACTATGTAAAAATATATTTACAGCTCTCGAATAATTTTTAAATTGTTGTGAGGGACAGGATTGGCTCTTCCAGGGGTCGGCAAACTTTTGAGACGGAATGTACCCGAAGAGCCGCATGTGGCTCGTGAGCCGCAGTTTGCTGACCCCTGCCATAGGTGAAATATAAAAATCTTTAAAGCTGAGGTTAGGTGACAACACCATTTGGCAAAGATTGATATTGCACCCAGAGCAGTACTCTGCATGGGCTCAGTAATCAATAAATATAATTTGAATGTAACAACAACCCAGCTTCATAAATCAATCAAAATTCCCAGACCAAAGAAGAGGGAAGAAAAAAGCTGAGGAACCTAGAATGTGCCACCTAGGGATCCTGAGCAAGGAGATATTTAAGGTCATGACACAATGGCCAGTAGAACGCCAACAGATCTGTGCCTGCCCTTCTGCCAAAGGGGCCAAGGCAAAGTGGAGCCAAGGCAGGGGTATCTGCTTGGAGTGAACTTGAGGCTTCTGCAAATGCCAAGAGGACAGGGAGGAAAGGCCTCTTGCCCAGTCACCAAGCACCCCCAAAGTAATGCATCCCCCTTCCTCCTTAGAGCAGCGGATCTCAAATGTTTGGTTCAGGACCACTTTACACTCTTAAAAATGAGTGAGGACTCCAAGGGGCTCTTGCTTAACGGCGTTATAATGATCAACACCATATTAGAAATGAAAAGTTACAAGAAGACCTATAATTCATTTCAAAATAAAAAGAATAAATCCATTACATACAGACAACTATTGTACATTTCTGTGAGGTCAGTTTATGTGTCGACTCGGTAGGCTAGTGTGCTGCTTTATTCTGCAGTTGTGATTAGAACTATCAGTTGACTTGAAGTAAGGCAGTTTATCCTACATAACCTGAATGAGCCTGACTCAACCAGCTAAAAAGCCTTAAGAGCAAAGCTGACGTTTCCTTGAAGGAGGAATTCTGCCCTTCTTGACAGCCTACCCTACAGATTTTAGGCTTGCCTAGCCAGCTCCCAGCATTGTGTAAGTTATGTAATTCCCTGTGATACAGCTCTCATTGTGTACCCAGAGAAATTCAAGGATACAGTACATCTGTTAACAAGTACAAGTTCCATGAAAATAAGGTTAAAGTAAGAAGAAAACTTCTTAGAAATCTAAAACATGGCTATGAAAGTAAATGAAGAGCTGAAAATAGATTTAGTTTGCTGGAAGAGTTAGCTGAATGATTCTCCCAGGATGCAATGCAAAAAAGGCATTTAAACACATTAAAAAAGTTACTAGTGATGCAGGATAGTTCAAAGAGGTCCAATAATCTGTTTACAGAGGAGTTCCAAAAGAACAGTATACAGGCTAATTTATACTTATAGACTAGAGAACTACTAAATAAATATTAGGAAATTAAACTCATCATGCATTCAAAGACTACATAATAACTTCTTAGTATTTATCCCTGAAATGAAAGAATAGTTAACTATAAAAGCATTTATTAATGTAATTCAACACATTGATATTAAATATAAGTAGTCACATTATCAATTCATTGGGTAAAGAAACATAATTTCCTAAAATTAAAAGCCTATTCCTGATAAAAAGTTTTAGCAATCTAGAAATAAAAGTTCTTTAACTTGACAAGAAAAAGCTAGGAAGAATTCATAGTAACTATCACTCTTATGAATGAAATATTAGAAGCATTTCAGTTAAAACTGGGAACTAAATAAAGATGCCCACTGACACCACAATTACTGAACATTCCTAGTAAATGCAAGAAAAAATATATAAGTATATACAATTATATATAGTGTATATGTATATACATATATGAATTTGATGAAGTGAAAATTATTAACAGATGATATTATAAATTTTGCTATATAGCAGGGGTATATCAGTTACTTGAAGTCAACTGATAGTTCTAAATCACAAAACCCAGTAAACTACAGTCCATGGCCTGTGAGCTAAGAATGGTTTTTATAATTTTAAAGGGTTGCTTAAAAATAAGAAGAATAGGGCCGGCCGAGTGGTGCGAGTTCTAAATCACAAAACCCAGTAAACTACAGTCCATGGCCTGTGAGCTAAGAATGGTTTTTATAATTTTAAAGGGTTGCTTAAAAATAAGAAGAATAGGGCCGGCCGAGTGGTGCGATGGTTAAGAACTCGCTTGGGATGCCAGAGGGCCCCGGTTCGGATCCCACATATGAGGGCCAGTGACACTGCCCTCCACAGCTAAGATGCTGAACAACAGCTCAACCTTGAGCTGGTCTGCCATGAGTCGCCGGCGACGGCGTAGGCTGCAGTCCCTGTGGCAGTGGGTTGCCATGGGCTACCGTGTGTGGCCAGCAGCCAGCGTGAGCGGCTAGCAGCCGCAGTGAGCGGCTGTCCAGAAGCCGGCGACTGATCTGCCTCGCCAGAGAAGAGCGCAATGATGGTGCCAACTTGGGCCAGTGAAGCAACATCCTCCACAACTAGATTGAAGAACAAGACGACAGCAACTTGTCTGTTCCCCTTTCCCCCAATTCCCCAGCACTGTTCCCATTCCCCCAATTCCCCCAATAAAAATCTTTAAAAAAAGTAATAATAAGAATAATATTGTGACAGACTGTATGTGGCCCACAAAGCTTAAGATATTTACTAACTGGCACTTTACAGAACGTTTGCTGACTCCTGACCTATAGCACATGGAAGAATTAACTAACAAACTATGATGACTAATAAGAGGTATGCAAATTTGCCAGACACAAAATACAGCAATTAGAAAAGACAGAAATAAAGAAATAGTAAATAGAATCAACTACAAAACAGAAATATAATTAGAAAATATGGAATCAATAAGAAAATAGAATTTTAAAAGAATCCCATTTCAGTAGTGGCAAAACCATTATATACCCAGGAATATTCGGAATGCTTTGTACAACTCCTTACAGTAGGAATTCTCAATAGGGAGAAGGGGTTTAAGTTGAGACAATATTCCAATGTGACTTCATAGGAAAGCCCCTGCCTGGGCATGTGTTTCACCATTAAAAGTTATATGTAGCTCATGTTAGAGTGCTAATTATTAGAAAGACTTCCACCACCCGATTTCTTAAGAGATTAAAAAATAAGATCACACACGAAAAGGACAAAAACTTACGATTGATACGATGATGATGATGATGGTGAGCTTGAGATTCTTCATACACATGGCTCGGGCAAGATTTCTGCTGGTTGTTTTGAAGGTGACAGACTAGAAAAAAAAAAGCATGAATTGTTTGGTCCCTGGCACTGACTATATGATTGATTTGCAGAAATACCCCCAGAGCTTTTACTTTCATTGATTCTGTTAAGTCCCAATGTTTTTACCCCCTCCCTCCCGTCACATGTGGAGACTGCCCATTCATGATCACTAGTTCCCCAAAGCGGGGCTCTGCCAGGTCTGTGGTAAGCAGTAGGAGCCCCCTGCAAAGGCTTCTCTCCTTTTTCTTCTACACCATAGCCATGCCCATGACGTCACCATCAGAAGTGGTTCCTCCTGTTAGTGGGAAAGCCTGATCCTCTATGCTTCCAATGAGAAAGGTTTCCAGGCCAGCTGGCTACAAACACATTTGCCTGTTCTGCCCAGTATAACTCTGTGATGTTGAGCCATGAAGCCTGTTCAATTTCCATAGAAAGATAAGTACTTACTTGTATGAGGCCCAAACCCAAAAAACTTCACTCCTTCGGTTACTCATTTTCTTTTGAAACATCGATTTCTCAGTATATACTGAACCATTCCCACCAGGACACAAGCAGTTTAAAACAAACAAACAATAAAATTCGCCAAAAGCCTCGCAATTCCACTCCTAGGTATACACCCAAGAGACATGTATGCACAAGTTCACCAAAAGACACACACAAAAGTATTTCCAACTGCGCTATGTGTCTTATCTCCAAACTGGAGATGACCCAAATGCCCATCAGCTGTACTGTGCAGTGAAGAACTTAAACTTGCCCCAAAATGGGTCTGACGTTTGCCCTCAGCTCCTGGGGGCCACTGGCTAGCCAGAGAGTAACAATGTCATTGAGGGCGGGGACTAGTCACCACAGAAGGAGCAGCTATGCACCTGGAGGAGCTGTAGACATGAGAAATATCCCACCCATGGGCAGTCAGGCACGGTGCTTACGGAATGAGACTCCACTAAAAACTGATCACCAAGGCCTGGGCAAACTTCCCTGCTTCATGACACCGTGTACATGTGTCACACATCCATGCTGAGATAGTACCGTGTCCTGACTCCATGAGGACAGGACAACAGGTACCTGTGAGTGTACCACCCTCCAGTGGGTTCTGTAAGCCCTTCTAGTGCATTACCGAACCTGAGGTGCCAGCACTGAGGCCGGTCTTGGGGACGGTGTCCTCTCAACTGTACAGTTTGTGAACTCTGCAATGACTCACAAACGAAATCACAGTAAGAATCCAAGAAAGAGGAAGATAATGTGGATCAGAAAAAGTAGTGAGCAACGAAACAAAAAATATATATATAGTCATGTGATTCAATATGTCAGAGTGGAGATTCCTCTACAATCCTCAAGTCAATATATGAACACTGACAAATCACCTGTTTTGAAACCAGTTCAGCTATAAAGAACAATTGTTTCACCATACCAGAGCTCCCCTTGGGGAGTTGGGTGGGGGGTAGAAGAGAACAGGAAGATGTAAAAATCCCTATGAGAGTAACAGGGCCAAGCTGACCAGCCTGATGACCTCTTTGCTCCATGTACCTGGTTTCATTAGCAGCTGATGACTTCCTTTTAAAAAATGGGCAAAGGACTTGAATAATTTCTCCAAAGAAGATGTACAAATGGCCAATAAGCACATGTAAAGATGCTCAGTGTCATTAGTCATTAGGGAAATGCAAAACAAAACCCCAATGAGATACCACTTCATATGCAACCAGGATGACTATAATAAAAAGATGGAGGGGCCTGCTGAGTGGCATGTTGGTTAGGAGCTGGCTTGGGACACCAGCTCTGAGTAGCAGGGCCCCAGTTCAGATCCCGCATGAGGGCCAGTGATGCTGCACCCTCTATAGCTAAGATGGTGAACAACAGCTCCACCTGGAGCTGGGCTGCCGTGGGCTGCTATAAGCTACCCTGTGTGGCCAGCAGCCAGCATGAGTGGCCGGCAGCCACTGTGAGCTGTCAAGAGCCGCAGTGAGCAGCCGTCCAGAAGCCGGCGACTGATCTGCCTTGCCCGGGAAGAGCGCAACGATGGTGCCAACTTGGACCAGTGAAGCAACGTCCTCCACAACTAGACTGAAGAACCAAACTACAGCAATTTGTCTGTCCCCTTCCCCCCATTCCCCAATAAAATCTTAAAAAAAAAAGAAAGATGGAAAAATAACAAGTGTTGCTGAGGATGTGGAAAAACTGATACCCTTGTATACTGCTGGTGCGAATGTAAAATGGTGCAGCAACTATGGAAAACAGTTTGGCGGTCCCTCAAAAAGCTAAACATAGAACTACTATATGACCCGGCAATTCTACTCCTAGTTATAGACCCAAAGGAACTGAACACAGGGACTTGAACAGATACTTCTACATCAACGTTCACAGTAGCATTACTCACAATAGCCCCAAGATGGAGACAATCCAAAGGGTCCATCAATGGACGAATGGATACATAAAATGTGGTGTAGGAATACAATGGAACATTATTCAGTCACAAAAAGAAGGGAAATTCTGACACACGCTACAACATGGATGAACCTTGAAAATATTACGCTAAGTGAAATAAGCCAGATGCAAAAGGAGAAATATTGTGGGATTCCACTTATATGAATGTACCCGGAATAGGCAAATTCATACAGACAGAAAGTATGATTAGAACTGGAGGCTGGAGGTAAGGGGAGTGGGGAGTTTTTGATTAATGGCTACAGAATTTCTGGTTGGGACAAGAACAAAGTTTTGGAATTAGTGATGGCTGCACAACATTGTGAATATAATTAATGTCACTGAATTATACGGTTCAAATGGCAAATTTTATGTTATGCTGGTATATACCTTACCACAATTGAAAGAACTGTAATATTCCAAAACCCACTGAAGTGTACACTTCAAATGATGGGTCACTCGTATGGTCTGTGGATTATTTATCAAGAAAGAGCTCCACAAAGATGTTAAAAAACCAAGACGTGATCAAACAAAACAATTACCTGATAAAATACCCGAGTAAACAAAATAAAAAAAGATGAAGAGGAACAAAGGCGCCGGCACAAAAAATACCAAAGACTAACATATCTCACTTCAACCCAACTCTGTCAATATTTGCATGACATGGAAGTGGAAAGAAACATTTCAATTATAAACACACTCCATATATTCAAGAAGGTAGAGGAAGGCATGCACATGTTACAGAGACACATGGAAGGTATAAAAAGATGCAAATCAAACTTGTAGAGATGAAAAACACATGAGATGGGAGTAACAGCACATTACAAACTGCAGAAGATATTCAACCTTGAAGATACCAATAGAAACTATCCTAAATGAAAGCAGAAAGAAAAGAGATGGAAAACAATGAGCACGGCATCAGTGAGCTGTGCGACAACTTCAAGTGGCATAATGTACATGTAACTGTAGCCCTAGAAGGAGAGGAGAGGGATGGAAAAATCTCTGCAGAAAGAATGGCTGTATATTTTCATGATTTGAAAAAAACTACAAACCCACAGCTCAACACACCCAAAGGTGAAGAAACATGAAGAAAACCACACCAAAGCACATTATAATCAAATCTCTTAAAACCAATGCTAAAAAGTAAACCTTATAAGCACCAAGGGGACCACTTCATAGACTGTGTAGATAGATGCCTGAGCACTGTGCTGGACACCTGAAGCGGAAGCTGAATAATACTGAATGTATTATTTTATATGTATGTATGTGTGTATATATATATATATACATATATATGTGTATATATATATATATATATACATGCATATACACACATATATATGTATATATATATATTCATATATAGCCGCAGGATGTGGAGTACAGCATAGGGAATAGAGTTAATGGAATTGTAGCAGCTATGTGCGATGTCAGAGGGGTAGGGGATTGGGGGAGAGGGATTATCACTTTGTGAAGGGTGTAAATGTCTAACTATTACACTGTTTGTACAGCTGAAACTAATAAAAAAAGAAAGCACTCAGAGGAGAAAAATACACATTAGTATGTAAGAACGACAGGATTTTTGTCAGAAAGAATGTAAGACAGTGATGAACACCTTTAAAATACTGAAAGAAAATATCTTTAAAACAAGGATGTGAAATAAAAGCTTTTTGGACATACAAATGCTGAAAAGAATTCATTATTAGCTGAACTGCACTACAAAAAATGTTAAAAGACATCCTACGGGTAGAAAGAAAATGACACCAGATGGAAATCTGGATCCACAAAAGAATGAAGTTACAATAAATAATGTTTTTCTTATTAGAATTCTTTAAAAGATAATCAAGTGTTTAAACAAAAATAGTAACAATGTATTGTGAGGTTTCTAATATATGTGTAAATAAAAGTATTTTAAAACAGCTTCATGGCCAGGGAAGTCAAATGGAGGCATGCTATTGGAAGGTTCTTAATACTATTAGTGAAGAGAAATAATTCCACTCAAAGGCGGACTATGATAAGTTAAAGACTTGCACTGTAAACCCTAAGGCAAACACCAAATAACTAAACGAAGAGGTATAGCTAATAAGCTGATAAAGGAGGTAAAAATGGAAGTTCTACAGCACTCAAAGAATTGATCAGAAGGCAGAAAAAGGGGGAGCAGGGAACAAAAGACAGATGGTACAAATAGGAAACAAATATCAAAATGGTAGATTTAAAACCTTCCCACAAACAAAATTCCAGGCTAAGACAGCTTCACTGGTGAATTCTTCCAAACAGCCAAGGAACAGATAATACCAACAGCACCTAAACTCTGTTGGAGGAGAGAGAGCTAGAGAGAGGTAACACTTCCCAGCTCGTCTGATGAGGCCAGCATATCCTTGATACCAAAGCCCAAAACGAGTAACTAGTACATTGTTTTGTACACCTGAAACTAATAAAAATTTGTGAAAAAAAATAAAAGCAAGGGAAGAATTGAAAGAAAAAAAAATAAACTAGGAAAAGCCACTCAAAAATAAATAAATGTTGACTGAATAAGTTATATGCAGTCACAGTAACTGAATAAAGGAGAAACATACAATCCTCTCAACAGACAGAGAAAAACATTTGATGAAATTCATGAATAGAACTTTCAAATGAAGAACTGTAGTGAATTTCTTCCACCTGATAAAAGGACACCCATAAAAAAATCTATGGTTAACAATATAATTACTGAAAATACTGAATTTCCCCCCATAAGATGTGCTACACAGAAAAATTTCCACTGTCACTACTTGCATTTACTATTGTGTAGAAAATTCTAGCCAGTGCAGTAAGGCAAGGCAAAGAAATAAAAGGCAACTATCTACAAAAAAGCTCCTAGAACTAATAAGTGAATTTTGCAAAGTTGCAGGATACAAACCAGGTCAATATACAAAAATCAATTTTATTTCTATATATTAGCAATACATACTGAAAAATGAAATTGAAAAATTTACAGTAGAATATAAATGCATGGCATTCTCAAGGGTAAATTTCACAAAATATGTGCAAGATCTGTACATCAGAAACTACCAAACATTGTTGAAAAAAACAAAAGCTATCCTACGCAGAAGCAGAGATATGCCATGTTTACGGAAAGGAGGACGTGATGCTGCCAAGATACCAATGCTCCCTAAATTGACCTGTAGATTAAGTGCAATCACAATCAAAGATGCAAGATTTGATTAAAAGTGGAAAGTAACAAGCTTATTCTGAAATATAACTGGAAATGCAAAGGCCCGAAAATAGTGAAGACAGTCCTGGAAAAGACCACAGTTGGAGTTCTGAGGAAATTGTATAAAGCTATAGTTATCAATACAGTGTTGTACTGGCGTAAAGACAGACAAACAGATCAATGAAATAAAATAGAGAATCCAGGATTCAAGCCCCACAGAGAAGAACGTAAAAACAAATTGTGGTAGGCAGGTTTGTACAATGAACCGTGAAAAATAATAAAAAAGAATAAACTATTACTACATTCAACAATGTAGACGGCTCTCACAGCTATAATGGTGAGTAAAAGAGGCCAGACACAAAAGCGTACATAACATATGATTCTATTTGTATACACTTTAAGAACAGGCAAAATATCGTCTAGGGCAGGGGTCGGCAAACTGCGGCCTGCGAGCCACATGCGGCTCTTTGGGTGTACATACATGTGGCTCTGAAATAAAATTGAAAATGAAAATAAAACTATCATAGTTTCATTTATAAAATTTTTCAGGATATTATTCACATAATGGTGATTTCATTTGTTTTATGGCTCTCGAATGATTTTTAAATTGTAGTGAGGGTCAGGGTTGGCTCTTCTGTCTCAAAAGTTTGCCAACCCCTGGTCTAGGGTGATGTAAGTCAGAAAAATGGTTATCTCTTGGGGGTTATTACCTGGAAGGGGCATAGGCCAGCCTTCGGATGTGCTGGAGATGTGTTGCATCTTAACCCAAGTGGTGGTCACATGGGTACAGGCAGATGTAAAAACTAATGAACTGCAAGCTTATTAACAGTAGTACCCTTGCTGTGTTTTATCATATGTATTTTATTCCTCCAGAGAGACACCTGTTAGTTAATTAGCTCCTTTTGTTATCCGGGGACGTGCAGTCAACAAAATGAAGAAGACTTATTTGAAAAGTGCAGACTATACTAGCACTGGTCAAACACAGGATTGTTCCAGCTAAATGGGGTAACCTTCCGGGATTAAGAGTAGCTAAGAGATGGACTGGGAGCACCAAAGACACCAGTCTGCAGATCTGGCATCCGATACTGCTTTGCTCTCTTGGCCCCCCAGCAGTGGGTTATAAAGTGAGCCATTACAGCACCCTGGGGTTTTGACTTCCTGTACGGTGCCACCCTTCCTGCAACTACCACAGGCTTTGATACAAAGAAGAAAACTGTTATCCTTCTAAGACCTACTGTTAATGGATGTCCCTGTAAAACCAACAATAACAACAAACATTTAAATAGCTCTTACTATGTACGAGAAACTGTGTTGGGCGTTTTGCATGTATCATCTGACTTAACTCTCCAAACACTATAGAGTAAGTACATCTCCACTTTACAGATAATCGCTGAGGCACAGAGAGGTTAAGTAACTGGCCTAAGGTCACACGGCCAATAAGTGGCAGAGATGGAGTCAATCCCAGGTAGCTGGCCTCTAGAGCTTGTGCTCTTAACCTCTACAATCTAGCTGCCAGTAAGAATGAACCTGATCACCCACGGGTCTGTTCCAAGGTGTAAACTTCCACTCTGCATTTCAATTGTAATTGTAGAGACTCAAGCTGTAACTGATCTCTGCCCTCTTTCTATTCACCGTGTATCTATCATCTTTCCTCAAAACCTTCATCCACTAACCGGATGGAGAGTGCAAAGACACATGGAACTGGAGCGTAAGTAGGTCACAGGGACACTGACTCCTTTAAGGCACAGGGGCCCCTCCCGATCCTGCCTTTTGCTTGACACACGGAAAGCTCCAGCTGTCACAATGAGCAAGAAAGTGAATGAACTGTCCAGTTTTCAGAATCCACGCTGTGTCACAAGGGGCCTGAAAATTCATTTCATGTTTTACAAAATGTGCAGAGGAGGTGCTGAATTATGTACACATCAATCCTAAGCTTTAAACAAATTGTTTCTGTAAATTGAGTATGTTTTCCAAACCAAAGCTTCCTTAATGGCTATTAATGGGACATGGTTTTTTTTCTATGCCTCATTGTTATCCTTGTAATCAGAATGTAATCAGATAATAGAGGTTAGAAAAGAAAAAAACCCACTACAGTATTAAATTTAAGACATTTCCCTATTATGTTAGCTATCAACCACACATTCTCTACCTTACATCCTGAAAAATATTATCATAGCCTGTACTTACCGAATCCACGAGATTTTCTGTTTTATCTATCAGTAATTCCAATCTTTCTCCTCGCTGGGCTACCAGATCTAAAAATGTTGGAAAAACAGAAAATATCATGTTTATATTAAAACTCTGCTATTTTTGTCTTTATTGTAAGAGAAATCTTATTTTTAATTATACTTGGTATTCTTGACAATTCACATTTACTAGAGAAGCACTTATATCCTTAAGTAATAAAAGACTTTAGTAAAGCTTATCAATTAAAGTAGGGGTTGGCAGGTGGTTTTTTTTTCTGTAAAGGGCCAGAGACTAAATATTTTAGGTTTTATGGGCCAAACCATCTCGGTAGCAATTACTCAACTCTGTCCGGCGGAGAAATTATGTAAACAAATGGGCATGACTGTTTTCCAAGGAAACTTTATGTAGAAAAATAGGCCAGATTTGATCCAAGGAATATAGTTTACAAACCTCTAAATTAAGGATATAATCTGAAAGTGAAAAAAAAGGAACCCTCAAAATAAATTGAGAGTTGGACACTTCAATAATTGTGGTGTGAGGAGCTGCACAGACCCTCTCCAAAAAAAGCACCATAACCAGTTAAAATTAAAACAAACAAACAACAACCATTTAAAGTATCTGAAAACTGTGAATGTCCTAAGGACAAACAGCAAATGAAGAAACATTTATGGAAGAAAATCAGCTAATTCTCAGTAAGAACAGTGGGTCTATGGCATTTAAGCCATGACCTGCTCGAACCAACAGCTCGGAGAGATGGAAGCGCTACTCCTGGCAAGTCAAGTCTGGGGTTTCTCTTCCTCCTGAGGTCCCAGTCAAAGGCTATGCTTCCTCCCCAGGGGGGCGAGTCATCAGCACTTGTCCTCCCATCCCACCCCACCCCACCCCAAGCCACATGATGCAGAAGTTCTACTCCAGCAAGGCATGGGTGAGAGGTCCGAGGCTCCATTGCTCCACCTGCCCCAACACACAGGGCAGAAACTCTACTTCAAGTGGCAGGCCAAGAATCGCCGAGCCCCCGCGTATGCCTGTGCTGACTTCCTCATAGAGCAGAGGTCCCATGATGGAGAGGCAAGCCTAAAAGACCAGTTACCCAGCACGCCACAGCTGGAGCAAGGGTGTCACTCCAAGGGAGGTAGTCCACTGTCCCTATCCATAGCGCTACAGCAGTGGCTCAGGGACTGTTCCCAGGGGGACAGGCAGGTCTTAGGAATAGAGGGCTTTCCCTAAGAGAACAGACTTTATCTGGAACAGAGTATGGGGCAGTTCAAGCCTAAGGGTGCTGTCAAAACAATGCAGATAAGCAATTAAGATGCAGCTGATAGCTTCAGGACCACCACAAGTTAAGCCACAGGCCATCTGGAAGTTTCACAGTGAGTAGCAGGGGAGGAGACAGCTAAGAAGAACCCTCCTGAGGTCAGAACAAATGTCGAAGACTGGACACAAAGACAAGGCAGCCAAAATCTAATTAGATCAGCCTGGAGCAATTTGTCTGGGGAACTGTTGGAAAAAAATAGAGCAATTAGCCTGCAATTAGTAGAGGCTAATAGCTGGGCGAGACACCAACAGGAGCAGACCAGCTAGAAGCACAACAGGGAGATCAGGAAAAGAGACTCAATGAGAGCCATGTCATTCCAGGGTGACTGTGTGCATGCCCAAGGTTGTGCCCTCTGAGAAGTGACATGAGAGGCTGCACACCATGGGAGAAACAGACTTCAAAAAAAAAAAAGCCCAGCCCAATCACTAAACAAATAAACAAGCAAACAACAAACCTAGGGGGTTGAGAATCAGTGCCCAGAATAGCTCCAATACATTATCTGAAATGTCCAGTTTTCAAAAACACACAAATTATGAGACAAAAAAGCAACAGGAAAATGTGGCCCATACAGAGGACAAAGAGCAGAGATCACAAAACTTACTTAGACGGGGCTCCACTGTTGGAATTAAAGTAACAGAGAGAAAGCACATGGCGGTAACAACTTACATTAAAGAGAAGATGTTATATCGACTGAATTGTGTCCCCCCAAATTTGTATGTTGAAGTCTTAGCGCCTAATGTGATGGCATTTGGAGATGGGGCCTTTGGGAGGGGGCAGGTTTGGATGAGGTTCCATGAGGGCTTATGACAGGATTAGTGCCCTTATAAGCAGAGACACCAGAGGGCGTTTTTTTTTTCTCTCTCTCTCTCCCCCCCCTCCCCCCCCTCCTGTCTCTGTCTCAATACAGACATAAAATAGTCTCTAATAAAATACTAGCAGGGTGAATCCAGAAATATATAAAAAGGATTATAGACCATTATGAAGTGGCATTTATTTTACAGATGCAAGGTTGATTGGCTATCTAGAAATAAATTATTGTAATATACTGTATTAATAGAATAAAGGACAAAAACAAGATGATCATTCCAATAGATACAAAAAAGCAGTTGACACAATCCAACACCTTTTCATTATAAAACCACTCAACAAACAGGATATAGAAGAGAACTTCCTAAACCTGATAAAGGGCATCTATGAAAGAACCACAACTAACATCATCCTCAATTGTGAAAGACTCCCTAAGATCAGGAATAAGACAAGGGTGTCCACTATTGCCACTTTTATTTGACATTGTACTGGAGGCTCTAGAAAGGGCAACTGAGTAGGAGAAAGAAATGAAAGGCATCCAGATTGTAAAGGAAGAATTAAACCTACCTCTATTTTCGGATGGTATGATCCTGTATATAGAAAATCATAAGGAACCCACTAAAAAGCTATTATAACTAAGAAAGAAGTTGTCTAAGGTTGCACAATACAAGATCAGTATAGAAAAATCAATTGTATGTCTATTCATGAGCAACGTGTGCTCCTAAGTGCAGTGGCAAGAGTGAGTGCCCGTGAAAAGAATGCTCGCAGAATATCAGACCAGGGTCCGTGGACAAAGGCGAAACCACAGAATTGAGCTGTAGTGCCATCTCCTGGAAAACAAAAGAGCGGTTTCCAGGAGCCAGCCTGGTGAGTTGTAAGACCAGAGAAGATATAAAAGTTTAAGAATTCTGCCACAAGAGGGAGCAAGAAGCATGGGGCAGGTGTACCCATGCAAGGTTGACAAAAACTCCTGATACCAGAGGACCAACAAAGAGTATCTCCCACCTAAAGGCAACTAGTAAAGATGTGAGGGGTGTCTGCTACTTCAAATGTGAAAGCAGCAATACAAAACTCCAGAGAACATTCAGAATCAAGGAAACATGTCATCACCAAAAGGTAACAATCATCCTCCGATAACTGAAATCAGACACAACATTTTGTGTTCTAGCTGATAAAGAATTCAAAACAGCTGTTTTGTGGAAACTCAACAAGGTACAAGAAAACACAGAAAGGCAATGCAATGAAATCAGGAAAACGGTACATGAACAAAATCTGAAAATTAACAAAGACATAGAAATCATAAAGAAGAACTAAACAGAAATTCTGGAGCTGAAGAGTTCAATGAATGAAATGAAAAAATGCAGTAAAGAGCATCCACCAGAGAGTAGATCAAATGGAAAATAGAATAAATTAGCTGGAGAATAGGAACCACGCAGAGGATAACAACAACAACGAATACAAAAAAGCAAACAAAGCCTATGTAATCTATGGGACGCCATCAAATGTACAAATATTAGAATAACTGTTTTGTGGAGAAGGGAGGTAAAATTAGGTAGATTGGGACATTAAAAATATAACAGAGTAGGAGCACATGGGGAGCTTTTGTGTGCAACTGAAGTTGCTATCAGCTTAAAATGGACTACTTTACCAATAAGATGTTTTATGTTAAGTCCCATGGTAACCACAAAACAAAAACCTAGAGTAGATGCACAAAAGATAAAGAAATGGGAAATAGAATATACCACCACAGAAAATCACCAATTTCAAAAGGAAGGCAGAAATAGGGGGTAAAAATCAATGACTCTACAAAACAACCAGAAAGCGATGGATAGGATGGAATTAGTAAATCCTTACATATAAATAATTACTGTAATTGTAAATGCATTTAATTCACCATTCAAAAGGCACAGAGTAGCTGGGTAGATGAAAAAAATAAAAAGCCCAAATATATGCTGCCTACAAGAGACTCACTTCAGATTTAAGTACACTCATAGATTCAAACTGAAGAAATGGAAAAAGATAATCCATGCAATTAGAAATCAAAAGAAAGTGAGGCTAGGTATACTTATATCAAACAAAATAAGACTGTATACCAAAAACGGTAACAGGAGACAAATAAGGTCATTATATAATAAGAAAAGTGACCAATTCATCAAGAAGATATGACAATCATAAATCTATACACACACAATATCGGAGCTCCTAAGTATCTTAAGCAAATACTACCAAACCTGAAGAAAGAAACAGACAACAACACAATAATAGTTGGGGAACTCAATACTCCACTTTCAGCAATGGATTGATCATCCACACAGAAAATCAACAAGGAAATATTGAACTTGAACCATACATTATACTACATAGACCTAACAGACATATCCAGAACATTCCATCCAACAGCAACAGAATACACATTCTTCTGAACTGTACAAGGAACATTCTCCAGGATACATCAGATGACAGAATACAAAACAAGTCTTCACAAATTTAAGAAGACTGAAATCATACTACCTATCTTTTCCAAGCACAACGGTATGAAACTAGAAATCAGCAAGAGGAAAGCTAAAAAATCTACAAATATGTGCAAACTAAACAACACACTCCTGAACAACCAGTGGGTAAAAGAAGAAATCAAAAGGGAAATAAAAAATACCTCAAAACAATTGAAAATGGAAACACAACACACCAATGGGCTGCTGAAAAAGCAGTTCTTGACTCTGGGTGGTGAACACACAATGTGATATATAGATGATGTGTTACAGAATTGTACACTTGAAACCTATGTAATTTTACCATCCATTGACACCCCAATAAATTTGAATTGAAAAATAAAACCAAAGAAGACAATCATCAGATAATTTTTGAATTAAAAACATCAATCGATATATAAATAAGAAAAAAGCAGTTCTAACAGAGAAGCTTTTAGTAGTAAATGCATATATTAAG